ACACACACACACACACACACACACACACACACACACACACACACACACACACACACACACACACACACACACACCTCACTATTGGAAATCCCATGAATAATTATTGAGGAGTGATTAAAGTTTAGGCTGTTCTTCCATCATTTTCTCTGCAGAATAAAAAAACTGTATTCAGCTGCACAGCATTTGACAGTGTAATTATAACAAGAAGCACAAGATAAAGACTAATAATTACAGTAGGCGTGTGTGTGCATGTGTGAATGTGAGATTAAACGGTTTAGGGGAGGATGGAGGGATCAGATCTTAGCTGTGGTGGAAGAGAGACAAACAGAGGTTTCCTCCTTCTAAAACAGATTAATTAGATTTAATCCCAGGGATGCACCAGGATTTGTGTGTGTTCACTTCTAAAGTAGTGAAGTAAGTAAACCTAACCTCGACGACGTGACTGAATAGCGGCGGAATCGAACTGCCAACTTTCTCGTAGGTCAACTCCCCTAACCACTGCCGCCCCAAGGTGCACCACAAACTCACTACATCTTTGTGACATCATGGGGACACCAAAAAAATCAGCCAAGATATCAGAGAATGGTTGACCTCCACATCTCTGGTTCATCCTTTGGTACAATTTCCAGATTCCTCAAGGTGCCACGTTCATCTGTTCAAAACATTATACACAAATATAAACAGCATGGGAACGTCCCACTATCATCACTCAGGAAAGAGATGGCTCTCTGTTTCTGACGTGAATGGTTTGGTGGGAAAAAAAGATTACATGTATCAACTCCAAAAGCAAAAAATAAATTAAAAAAAAACCTTGTGTAGATGCTGCTGAGATTATCCACAGTGAAAACAAGTCCTGGGCTGAGAGACCACTGAGGATGACGCCATTACTCTCAAAGCAACATGAAAAAGTACCAAGTAGTCAATCTGAAAATGCAGATTTACACCAAACCTCAATCTTTGGAGCCATGTCCTGTGGTCTGTCGAAGCTATAATGACCATCGTTACATTTGGAAGAGAAAACGAAAAGCTTGCAAACCTGAGAACACCATCTCAACTATGAAGTACGGCGGAGGCAGCATCATGTTGTGGGGGGTTGCTGCAGGAGGGACTGCTGAATGCCACTAAACAGATGGCATCATGAGGAAAGAAGGTGTGGAAATACTGAAGCAACATTTCCAGACATCAGCCAGGAAGTGAAAGCTTGGGCTTTAATGGTATAAGCATGGTGGTAAACTGACCCCCACAACGTCCTGATCTCAAACCCATAGCCGACGTGTGGCAGAGGTGAAAGAGTGTGTGAAGAAGGCAGCTTATAAACCTGACTCAGTTCAGTTCTGTCAGGAGAAATGAGACCAATTTACAGCAAACTATTGTGAGAAGCTTGTGAAACAAAACCCAAACAGTTTGACCCAAGTCATACAGCTAAAAAACAATACTACCAAATCTTAATAAAACCTTTGTTATAATTATCTCTTTATTTGGGCATCTAACAAGTAAACATAATTTTGGTAATCCTAACTGATTTAAAAAAAAGGTTTATTTATATTTAATCTCTGGTTCTGTCTTTTTATACACGTATGTACACATCTGCTTTAAACTGTGTTTTGTACACTGTATGTATTGCTATTTTTAATTATCAGGCTCTTCTACAAAAAAGACAAATCTGTTAAATCTCTGCTCTCATTTGTGCAAAGCCGGTTAGAATGGAAATTAACATCAGAAAACTGAAGCGTAAAGATCAGATCTCATTTCATGCTAAATTCATCTGCAAAGAACCAGGAGCTCGACACAAAAAGCAGTTTGGTGCCAGAAAACGGCCCGAGTAAAGGGATTTTCTGCTTGTTTGTGGTCCTGATCGGAGCAAATAGCCGTAAATAATAACTACTAATATAAAATGTGAAATGATCAATAAGATATTTTCATAAATCAATGCAACTCGAAGAACATATTATTTTTCTCCATCTCATCCTGAATCTGAAGAGAGCCTAAAGAAGAGAGTGACATCAAGAACAATGTTGCCTTTCTATCTTTCTTAAAGATTATATAAATGTTCAATCACCTCTGTGGACCTGCCTGTACCTCTGGAAAACTAAAGACAAACAATCATTAGATCAAAGTGATCTGTGAGGCACACAATCCTGTAGGAGGCCAGGCAGGTATACACGAGCCTGTCCATTCTGGGTCTTATACAACAATAAAACTTAAAAAAAAAAATCACTTTTTAAACAAACAGGGAGCCAATAAGGGGAAGCAGCTCAATTAAAAAACAAGCTGCAGTGTTCTGAATGCAGGCATGACTGTCTGGCCTAAATAGCACCAACATACAGTCAAAATGATCCAGATGGAAGGTAATAAAAGCATGAATCGCTCATTTAAAGCCATTAAAGGATAAAAACAATTTACACTTCCGACATAAAGCTTCAAATTAAAATAAACTCTTTACTACAGAGCTAATCAGTTTCTCGAGTCTAAAATTAAAATGAAAAATCACCCTCAGGGCTTTACGTGCGATTATACAAACGATTTCAGTACAACAAGACCTGTGGGAGAACTGCTGCGATTTCCACTGGGACCAAAAATAATAACTTCTGGCAGAGTTGGAAAGTAACTAAGTACAACTACTGTACATAAGTAGAATTTTTGTGTATCTGTACTTTACTTGAGCAATTCTTTTTCAGCCTATACTTTTTAATTCTACTCCTTACATTTTTAAAATAGGCAAGAAGTAGAAAGTTGTTACTTTTATTTCATTTTTGCTTGTTTTCATTCCAGCTTGTTGTTGTAAAAAAATAAATACTAGATTTGTGCCTCCCAGATAGAGTGAATTTAATTGTGGTTGAATGAGAAGTATAAATATATAAAACTCTGATACTGTAGTAGTTTGTACACAAACAAATCATTTCACACTCCAGCAGGACCTAATCATTAAAATAAAAGGACTGTACTTAAGAAGTATTTGTATTTCATGAATTATATTATTGCATTTGACCCACAGCCCTCAGATAGATTTTCATTTTGGAGAAAACGTTTGGGCAGCCTTTGATATATGTATATAAACTGAAACAGCTAGACTAGTACATCCTAAACTTAACATCAATTCATTATTTTAATACATTATTGTCATTTCTGCATTTTATTTTGGGGGGGGGGTGTCACCTCCTAATAAGTGTCATTACAGAAAACCTAACTGTCCATTTTAAATCAATAATTTGACTTTTAATACTTCAGTGCAAAAATTATCAGATACTTTAATACTTTTACTCAAGTAATATTCCTAAAGGAGACTTTAACTTTTACCAAAGTAATTTTTTGGTAAGGTACTTGTACTTTTACTCAAGTATCACTTTGTAGTAATTTATACAACACTGATTTCTGGAGGTGTCCTGGTGCCAGTTTTTCTCAAAGCGAGTACGAGTACTTTAGTTTGAGTACTCGCCAGTACCAAATACCGATGCTATTACTTCCTGAGTTAGAACCTAATTATTACACAGTGACTTAAAAAACACTTTTATTTTATTTAGAACAAGGCGTCTCTCCTTCCTTATGGATCCACAGCCCCTCTGACTGGATCAAATCAAATATATAACGTGATTTAACAGGGAACTGACAAATGTTTCAGTTGAAATGTAAACTGTAACACAGTCAATAAAGTATCAGTACCAATATCCCGATACTGGTACTGGTATCAGTTAGAGTTAGGTCACCACTAAAAGCTTCAGTTTATTCTCATTGAAATTTAGGAAGTTTGAAGTCATCCAAGCTTTTACTTCAGTGAGGCAGTCGATCAGTTGTTTCAGTGAAAAAGAATGATTGCTCCTTATAGATCTGAGTGTCGTCTGCATAGAAATTATGTTTATTTTTTAAAAGATGGAGCCTAATTGGAGCATAGATGAAAAATAAAATGTGTTCAAGAATGGATCTTTGAGGAATTCCACGTGTGAAGGTGACTGAAGAAGAAACAGATTCTCCAAGGATTACAGAGAAACTCCTGTCAGACAGGTAAGACCTGAACCAGTCTAGTGAGCCTTGGATCCCACTACTTAAACCTGGAGACTAAACTAGTCATAAAACAGTGATCAACTGAGTAAAGGCAGCTGTCAGGTCTAAAAACGAGATTATTAAAAACCTTTAAAAGTGAACTTTCTGGGCTGTGAAGGGCTGTAAAACACGAAACATTTCAAAAATGTTGGGTGCATGGGGTGCATCATCATCACGATCGTTATTTAGACTTTTGTCCAGCCTGGGTAGTTCTGTTTCCTACCTGCCATGTCTGTGGCAAACGGTCGGTCCGGTCTCCAGCCAGTGTACCAGCCCACGACTTTACCCCCGGACACAAGGGGGCGCTCGTACGCTCGGCCGCCCACAAATCCCACGGGCCAAACAGAAACCCTTCGAGTGCTGCGCATCTGTGGAAAACAAAAAAAGAGCAACAAAACTGAATTAGTTCTGACATAGAGGTGGATAGCCTGGACGTTGACCTGAATAACCCTGATCTTTAGAAACACTGTGAGAAAGATCCTCTCCTTTCCTTCAACACTCTTAGGTTGTGAGGCAAACCACAATTCTTTCAGACCTGTTTACTGTTTATCTTCCTGTTTTTCAGGGTGAGACCCAACCTTCAAAACCCTCCAACACTAAAACCTCCAGGGACTCTCACGTGGAGACTCCAATCAAGTCTCTAAAGGGGGCTCGGATGGAGACTCTGACAACTTTGACAGAGGCCGATCAAGACACTGACTGGGACTGACAAGGTCAGATACACTGATGGAGATTCTGACATGATTTGGTTTTGATCTCAGTCTGTTTGGCCAGCTTTAATTTCATGTGAAACAGTCTCTGTACGCAACTGAATATAAGAGCAAACGGAGCACAGAGCTGCTCTTCGCTTCTCACAGCCAATGAATCTGCTGCCAGAGGCAGAACCAAATGAAACGAGACAGAGAAGAAGATAAAATACAGGAAATAGGAAGATAGAGGGTGTGTGTGTGAGTGAGAGAGATAGAGAGACAGAAAGCGAGGACAGTTCTTGTTCTGACTGTTTAACAAATTCATATTTTTGCTTCTGCATGTGAACACGTGTGGTTTTGTGTTTCCTTGCTGTTAAGGCCTCATCTCTCAGTCACTCCCAGTGTTTCTGATCAAAGAGCAACAGAACTGCAGCAGAAAACAGCGCTGAATTACAGACTGTAACGATAACACCTCATGTGGTGAGGACTCACAGCTCAGGGCGAACAATTTTATCCGAAAAAAACTTATGCAAAGAACAGCTGAGTGTGACGTAACCCTTCGGGTAGGGGTAGTGGGTGTGGGAGTGGGGGGTTATCACACAAGAAACATCCTCTATTAACAGGATTCACAGGATTACAGCACATTTTTGATTTACTTGTTTAAGACTTGAATTATTGGGCCTCATGCAAGAACATGTTCGTATTTTTATCCTAAATTTTTCTTACTTTTGTTCGTACAAAGGGTTCGTACGAACATGTCACGTCAGATTCAACAAACACTTCTATCTTCAGGAAAAGTGTGTAAATGAGCTGCGTGAATTCCACCTGTTCTATCCAGCTGCTCGTGCACGCGAGAGGAGATTAGCATAATTACCACCCCAAAAACACCATATAAGGCTATGTTTCCTGCCTCAGATACAAGGAAGTGTCCATTCATGAAAAATGACAGCGAAAACTAAAAAGAAGAACTTTACGAGTTCAGAGATTGAAGTCCATCTGCGCGGTCTCAAGTGGTCTCAGTTGCGGTTCTGAAATAAGCATTTTAAAATGTTTTCAAAATAAGTCGGGCACTTTGGAGAAAACCCAGGACTCGCTGGAGGGATTGTGTACCCCCTCTGGCCTGGGAATGTCTCGGAGTCCCCCAGGACGAGCTGGAAGGTGTCGCTGGGGAGAGCGCGGGGTCTTTCTGCTGCAGCCCCCGCACCCAGTCCCGGATAAGCCGGCCGGACGGACAATTTATATTGTTAGTCTAAATTACCACATTTAAAATTATAACTCTAATTCAAGCAGAATAYCRTATTGTCAACATAATTATGGAGTGTGATTTATTTTCAACTCAAAATATCTTCAAYCTAARGAAATATAAATTTATTAGGGAGGAAAACCCGTCTGGATAACAGCAGACTGACTGCTCGTAAAATATACGACAGGTCTGGACCACTCGTGACTTTTGTTCGTATCAGAAAAAAAATCTTAGAATACGAAAACATTGGTGAATGCCACAAATTCTCCTAAATCACTCGTATGCACAACTTAAGAACAAATCTGTGCGTACGAACGGTTCTTGCATGAGGCCCAATGTGAGCAAAAATCTATGATGGTCGAGGAGGTATAGTGTTTGTGTGTCAAACTTGTGGCTCGCGGGCCAAATGTGGCCTGGCACGGCATGCTATGGGACCAGTGAGAGCTTCAAAGATGCATTTATGCCTTAAAATACGAGTAAGCTGCTTTAAAGCCTGCATTGACAATAAACTACAATATCTCCCAGAATGCATGTTGATTATTTTATCTGCAAAATGAAGGCATCCCACCACTAGGTGGAGCTGCACGGGGTTCAAAAGTAGTGGACAGCTGGAAAAATTCACCATGTAAAATCTTCGTTTAGCTGCATTTTCATTGACTATTTCCCACTTTCAAGTCATAAATTTAAACTGGAACGCCCCTCAGAGGAAATTCCCTGTGGGAAAGTGGGAGAGTTCAAAATTCAAGATGGCAGCTTCTCACCTCCACTCAACAGTGAGTAAAACTCACTTTTATTTTTAATAGTATTTATTTATTATTTATTTTACAATTAGCCAGTCGTACACATAGTACTACTCAGTGTTTATAAGAAGATGTGTTGAAACTCTGTTTCAATGCAGGAAATACCACATAGAGCTCAGTTTGTTTGTTAGTGGAGCTCTGCAGTAGCAATGAGATGAAGAACAGGATGTTTGTGTTTTTAGTTGAAGTTAAACACAAAACGTTGAAGTTAAATATAACTGGCCTTTTGAGGTCCAACATAATGCTCATGTGGCCCTCAGTGTAAACTATTTTGACACCCTAGAGCTGCAGGAAAGGTTAAAGGTTTGTGAGCGATGAGTGAAAACAGTACTCCCTCCACCTGGGAGACCTCCCACTGTAACCAGTGACAGAAACTCTTCCTCTGTCTGCAGACTAGAAGCAGAAAGGAAAAACTTCACAGAAACAGTCTGAGCCTCTGGCACAGCAGAGAAGAAAGTCTGGAAAAGACCAGTTATTTATATCACACTGTCACAGATAGTATTTTTCTAATGAATAACCAGATGTGAGCTAAGTTTATCTTCACAATGACAGGAACTGGATAAATGAAACATTTCTTGGTGTCCCGCTTCACTTCCATCCCAGCAGCAGCAGCAGCAGCAGCAGCAGCAGCAGCAGCAGCAGCAGCAGCAGCAGCAGCAGCAGCAGCAGCAGCAGCAGCAGCAGCAGCAGCANCAGCAGCAGCAGCAGCAGCAGCAGCAGCAGCAGCAGCAGCAGCAGCAGCAGCTCTATCTTCTCCTTTTGTTGCTCTTCAGTTTTCTGCTGTTTGGCTCCTGAGCACCAGCATCTTGTTCACATGATGCTAAACTCCTTCCTCTTTTCCCGTTGTCTTCCTCACTGCCTCAGACATCAGCTGTTTGCGGTTTAGAGTAAAAAAGGAGACAAACAGAAGGACGACTGCTGTTGTTTGACTGCAGACGATGTCCTGAATCTTCTCCAGCTCAGTACAGTCTCACACATTATCAGGAAGCTGACAGATGACTTCTGAATCTACACAGAACAGAAGTTCACACTAGATTTTTTCTTCTTCTGTTCACTTTTAGCATTCTCTAAATGCACGGTCAAAAATGTTCCAAGGTCTTAGAGCCGTGAAGAAAGGTTTACAGTTAATTAAAAATGTCTGAATGATCATCTCTTGTTTGACAGCTAAAATATGAGCAGGTGAGTGGGGACACTGAACATCCAGAGGTGGATTTATTCTAAGACCTAACTTAAAGTGTTTGGGTTTCTAATAATTAAAATAAAAACAGTATGTATGATCTTTCCATCTAAGATTTGTACTTTTTAAAAAGCAGTGGGGTTAGATTTCCAGGAGCTGAATCATTAGCTTCACCTTCCCCGTCAGGACCAGAATGTTTATACAGCATATGGACAAATTCTTCATAAATCCTTTGAGCTGATCTTTGCTTTAACATGTCGAGCAGATGTCTGTATGAAGAACTGCTTGGCATCAATTTCATCAGTTTAACATCATAATAAAGAGAAAAAAAATAACTACAGCAGCCGATATTGGTTTAAGCCGATACAGAGGAAGTGTGTAGATTCAGATGCAGTTAGCAGTATTTGTATGATCCGCACCGGTTTTTATCACGAACACTTCAGTGTCAGGATATTTGCTGGGAGCCAGAAGAAAACGTTGGTTTTTCAGCAGATGGTAAATTATTCTGCTCAGAGCCGACTGCTTTAACTCATGCTGGTTTTCATGCCTCCGTCTGCAGCTTTCTGCTGGCAGCGGAAAAGTTTGCAACAGTAATTCATTATGGCTTTATCTGCACGAAGAGGGTCGCTCAGTGATCATAATGCAGAACCACATCTGCCTGTTTGCACAAAACAAATACGTCTCAGTGTGGTCAGATAAGAAAAGACACAAAGACAAAAAATATAGAGAGATTCTGTATTTTTTATGAAACCTTTATGTTACGCCTCATAATCTAAGACAGAAAATAAATTGTATTAAGTGTGTAAAAGGTTAAATAACTAAACTAAATAACTTTCATGAATGCACAGATGTATATAAATATGATGATTTTTCACTTCTTGAGCCTTAATCCTCTGTAGGTTACATTTCTGCACATCCACCTTTTTCTTTTAAATTAGTACCAAAACATGTATTTTCAATTTCTCAGGCCCATAGAGTTAAATACCGCTAGAGTGAGCTGTGCCTAACCTTCCACTGTTAGCATCTGTTACAACATGGAGGAGCAGAAATGGCGACTGAACAGGGCGTCGGCTCACAGCTCACTGCAACTATTAGATGAACAGTAAGCCCAGCTGGATATAACTTCATAACAAACAAATTTTCTAATATTTTTACACTTGAATATAATAATTATTATGATCACTTCATTCAACAATCATGTAAAACAGCTAGATACGATATAAGAAAAAATATAAAAGTACTGGTGATTTCAACTGAATCTGAAGTTATTCAATAACTTATTTATATGGGTGAATAATCATGACTTAAACTAGTAATAAAGTATATTTGTTATTTTCCTGTTATGTAGATACTTAGTTACTTTTAAGTATTGAACTCATCTCTACTGATATAATGGAAACCTAAAAATAGTCAAATATATAATATTATTATTTTACGCTATAAATATTACATAAATCAG